ATTTATGTCGAAATCAACAATCAACGCCCTTTTTCAGCAACGTATAACTTATAACTATAGTTACAGACAGAAACTGTTTAATTGTATTTGGCATCATTACATGTTAAAACCTCAGTGACAGTTACACAATTTTAAATTCAATCCGGTGTTTCAGGATGGAACAGGAATTATAAACATCGATAAAACGACAATCTCAATTCTACATCAAATTATTGCAATGTTTTCCGTTTTTTAATTTCATTTTTTTAACTAACAAATCTATACATTTACTTTAATAGACATATGGTCAAATATGTCATATGCACTTTTTTCTATAGCAATTACCAAACAGTTTTTTCCCACCTTGTTTGAATCATTCTTTTTGTGACCTCACGGAAGCACGCAGAAGATTTAATTCTTAATGTGGGAGGAAGCCGGAGTATCCGGAGAAAAACCGCGTTCTCGAGCAGGTAACCGGGATTGAATCCGGCCATCTTGGTGAAGACGAGCGCGCTATCCACTGCGCCTACCGACCCATCATATACGTTACGCACAAGAACAACTCTTTGCTTTAGCTTTGAAAATGGCGTCATTGATGCAGAAATTAAATTGTGTATACATTTTTACCAATCATTAACAATGCAAAAAATCTACATATGGGAGACCGGGCAAAGTCGGGCCACCCCTGATATTTTTGTTTTTGAGCTAATATTTACAACTTTAAAGATCTTAGCAGTTTAGTTGGCTAGGCATTCACATGAAAAAATGGCAAGGAAAACGTTAATGAAAAAATACTAAACAAATTACTTTTGAGAAAGAAAATCATGATCTCGCTTCTAGTGATGCGAACTTTCGCTAAAAAAATACTGTCAAACGTGTAACACACTGACAGCTTCAAATGATATACATGGACATAAAAGCAAAGCCAAACACTCGCTACCATATTGCTGTACGATAAGAATCGATTTGGGCCCGGACAGTTTCAGCCAATGATATCGTGGCAAGTTTGGCCCATGTAACACATAAAAAGTCGAAAAGTTGGCGGTAAAAGCTGACGTTGCATGCTTTATAACGTCATAATTAAGCTGATTCCAATGGGGCCGAACTTACCCGAATGTCGACAGGTAAAAATTAACCAGGATACCTTATCTCCCATCCCTCCCTTAACCCCTGCCAGATGTGGAATTTTATTTCAAAATATGTGTCCCCATATTGGGACAGGGGCATTTCGGCCCCTTTTTGTTAAAGTCGTTCTGAACAATATGTCATATGTTAAAAATTAACTTGGATTTGAAAGAGTCCACAATATAGGCGGACTGGTCGAGTGGTCAAAGTTAACACTACGGCCTTCTATGCGGCCGGGGTTCGATCTCCGAAGTCGTCGTACGCATGGATATTCAGAGAAAGTGTTTTTCTCCTGCCTATACAACTCCAACAACCCAGATGGAGTATAAACTTGTCTGGGGTGGATGTTGCGGTATCTGTGCTGTAGCATTCAAGCGAGGTGGCACTATACATGATACCGTTTGAAGCACGGTCCCGCTACAAACAGACAACATTACGTATACATTTCCAGCACACACGCAGGCATACACATATGGGGAGATATTAGCCAGGTGGCATATGGCTAGTAGTTAGCGCCTGATAAGGCAGCTCCTGCGAATTCCTCATTACAAATTGTATTGAATTAATGTACATGTATATGCTTATTGTATTAATTGTATATCTATGTAATGTAAAGCGCTTTAGAGTGGCTTATGTTAGCTAGATTGGGCCCTACATCAAATGTTGTATATATGGATATATATAGATATTCAATGCTTTTCAAAATATGTCTTCGTTGCAGTCTCGAGAAGTAATAACTATTATTCAAAGGGGCGGGGGGCTACGATTGACCCTTTAACCTAGAAAATGGTTGATATATTATCCAAAATAGTCGAAAGGGACATTGTCAAAAGAAACATATGCGAAAATTGCTGCAATTTTGACAAAAGGTGTGAAGGATCTTTTATGTAAATCGTCTTATGTCCTGGCTTCTCTCTCTCTGTCTGAGATGATGACGTTATTACCAAATCATTGACATTTGGCCTAAACGTGCGGTTAAAACTAGATATTGAGCGTTTTGAACGGAATATTCTGAACAACATAATTAATGTCATTTACAATTTATATGATTATGATTAAATAGATTCAAGTATGCAGGATTTGTTCCCTCGTGGTTGATGGACTGTCAGTAAGTCATTTTCATAAACAGGTTTGGTGTCCAGCAGCTTTGCTGCATTTTCTTGTTTAAATATTTTATTAGTCCTTCATTACCATGACAACTACGAGTAAGCTACTAATAATTGCGGAAATAAAATAATTACAACGCAATCCGTCATAGAAAGTGAAACCGGGAAGTCGGTCCTAACAATCGATGTCGATCCATAAAACTGACGAATCAAAAACGACCACCTGTTAGAAGTACTCTCCCTTGCCAGTAGATGGCGCTGTAAGTCGCACTTCCTGGACATTCGCCGGTTTGGACAAGTAGTCAAAACATGTTGTCGGCGTGCGGTCGTGTATATGCAAACATGACCTTCTGTTTTTGCCACAGGAAACATATGCTTTTCCTTATATGCACAATTTTGACTTTAGTAACGCAATCCCTAAGTATTGGCGAGGTTATCTGGGCCGTGAACTGTGGGGGAGAAGCCCACACCGATATCAATGGTATCCGGTACGAAACAGATTCGCTTAAAGTCGGGATCTCATCTGACTATGGAAAAACATTGATGGTTTCACGGGTGGTCGCTCAGGACCAGATCTTGTACCAGACTGAGCGATATCACATGTCAACGTTTGGTTACGAAATTCCACTCAGCGGAGACGGTGAATATGTCCTTGCCCTCAAATTCTGTGAAGTTTGGTTCACATCACCGAATCAAAAAGTAATGACGTGTTTTGGAGAACACCCTTCGTTCGTGACATCACGTAAAGCAGAGACTATATATCTTTATAAGTGCTAATATCTATCAATAAACACAAGTAAAGTGTTAATAAATAGTGAATAAACTCATTTAAAAGTCAATTAACAAGAAAAAATTCCTAGACTCATTAAGTCATTATTAGATCAAAACCGTTTTATCTTATACTTTTGACGAACAAAACTGTCTACTTGCCAGTTATTTTCAAATTAGATATTACTCAGAAGTTTGGTAAGCTGATAGTTTCGGTACATTAGCACATAAGAATGGGATGTTTTGGTACTTTTTGTAAAGACGAGAAATGCTGTAAATTAAGCAATACACAATACTCAAAAAGCAAAGTCAGAAGTACTCCAACAATGTTAGAGGTTTGACATGCATTGTGAGATGCTATTGACAAGTGCTGTGGCAGTCGGCACAATCCTGTCCAATAAAAATAATAGCTGACCAGCGGCCTCTTGTGTTATAGGGAGTTTAAAAATTAATCCAAGTGGCGAAAACTATAAAAATTTGAACATCATATTGGAAGTACCAAAATATCTTTAATATCCAAGTACCCAAACAATATAATTTCCAAAACATCTGGAAGGTATCCAACACTTACCTCAAAGAATTTTCAGTTCTATCGGTGATACAATAACGACAGAGGGCTACAGTAATAAGATTTTGTACCAAAATCCCATACAATATTCTGATATAAAGCTGGTTGCTGGCAAATGTAGCCTGCTATTCATCAACTTTGAACTGGCTGTTTTTTTTCAGAATATGTATTGGTCAACATTAAACTGGTTATTCTTTTTAAGCTAAACAACTATTTCAAAACTGAGAACACTGCCCATGATCTACGGTATATAATGCTGTGTTAACAGGGAGAGGTTGTAAAATTGTTTCAAGGAATTATCATCTTAAATATGACTAAACTAATACTGAAATTGTATAAGTACATGTTTAACTATTTTGTAGGTATTTGATGTCACATTGAATGGAGAACACACTGTTGTGGATGAACTGGATATTTACAGTAAAGTCGGACGGGGAGTGGCACATGATGAACTTATAGAATTCACAATTAGATCAGGGAAACTCAAAGTCAACGGCGAAACATCCAAAATCAACAGCAAACTATTAGTAGAATTTATGAAGGTATGGTTTTAGTAGAATTTATGAAGGTATGGTTTTAGGTTTGTGTTATTAAGTAATATTATCAATGGTATTCAGGAATTTTCCAGGAATAAATCTATTTGTATATGAGGGACTGTTTTTGATAAACCACCACCACCACCACCCAAGGGATGCTCAATTTCATCTTTAGATCTGCAGACAGGATTTAATAATATTCAGTATAACCTTGACACAAAAACTACTGCTAGCCACAAGTATTAAGTTTGTGGAATTTTGCATCCCTGCAACCTGAATGATAAACTTTCTTCGGCTCATTATGCAAATATTAAGAATTATTTTAGACCCCACACACCCTACATTATCAGCCTCCCCTCCTGGCCCCCTCCCCAGTGGCCAAGTGGTTAAGGCATCTGACCCTCTATGATCACTAGCCCTTCACCACCACTAGCCCACCATCAGTGGGTTGTGGGTTCAAGGCCTACGTGGGGCAGTTGCCAGGTACTGATGACTGCAGGTTGTTTTTCTCCGGTTTTCCTCCACCACTTAACCTTTAATGACAAGTTGTTACAAGGACATAAAGCACAAACAAAATAATACAAACTAAACCCCGCCCCCCTCCATTCATATCTTGAACAGTCCTCAGAAGAAGCAGTGGGACCATGTTATTATTAGTTTGTATTAAGTTGATAATGTAACACATCATTTAATCCGTAACTGTTTTAGTTTTACAAGAAATCTACGTGATGGAAATTTTATTTTGTCCTGAGAAGCTGCCAATTTTATGTTTTTACAGTAATCTTTAAATTTAGTCTTTAAATATCACACATTACATTTAGTGTGTTGTCAGTATCGGTGATAGTCTTGATTGACATTCCCATTTTACTTTGAACTAATTAATGATGACTTTTGATTAAATTTCCATGATATTGAAATGTTATAAAAATAGTAGCAAGAAGCATTGAAACTTGGTCAATACGAATGACAATGGCAATAGGAAAGTTACAAATTCAGCACGAAGTGCTAGTGTGCTTCATGGAACTTGTCACTTCCAGTTGAAATTTATTTAAGGATTGAATCCTGCTTTGGTAAATTTAATGGGGTGATGAATTGTGTTAGTCTTGAAACAAATTTAACGGCAAATGAAACGGGTAACAGTTGGTAGTTGCATCAAGTCCAACTTGAGTAGAAATTGAAATGTATTAACTATGAATGCCAACTGTAAGGAATGAAATGCTTAAATTTTGTAAATTATAAAGAAACCTTGCATAGTCCATTTGGTCATATTTCAGAGAAATTCTGAATTTTCTCAATTAGTATAAAATCGTCCTCTTGTTCCTTGCTATTATGTCATGTTCATTACTTGTCAGAATATTTTTTAAGGACCACTTTATAAATGTTCTGTATGATTTTATTTTTCAGGGAGATTATGATAATCCGAAAATTAATGCAATATATTTAATGAAGGGAACAATAGACGGTAGGTAATCTTCTGTGATATTTAATGAAGGGAACAATAGACGGTAGGTAATCTTCTGTGATATTTAATGAAGGGAACAATAGACGGTAGGTAATCTTCCGTGATATTTAATGAAGGGAACAATAGACGGTAGGTAATCTTCCGTGATAAAATATAATTCCACCAACATCAAAGTAATGATTTGTTTTTCAAGTTTATTCAAGATTTGAATGAAATAGCATGTATGTACAAAAAGTAAGTTACCACACTGCTTACAGCTCAGCTGTGTTCCTCCAGTAATACAGTGTGTGTATTTAAAAAAAAGGAATAGCATTGCTTAATCAGGGCCATGAAAGGAAGATGTGTATACAATTGTGTCAAAATCACAATGATAAAAGTTGAGAAGAAGTTGAAAATGTCTTGGCCAATCAGAGGCCAGTGAAGACATCTTAGATTTCGAATCACCTGGAAAAATAACAGCTGGTCATGAGATAATTATTTGCTGAATTTTGTTTAGTAGACATGGAGAAGTAAAAACGTTTTTGTTCCATTTCCAAGTTAAGCTAACAATGTCATTACTGTAACAACACCCTAATTATCACAACTGAGGCTGTAAAAAGTATATATTGTTTTTGTAATTAATTGAAAATATGATATACTTTTAAATAATGTCTGAATTAACATTACAGATGTACCCAAGTTGCCATCACTACCAGGGACAGAGACGACACGAGAGGAGGAAGAGGTGGAGGACGAGGAGGACTCTCCCGATCGGCCATCAAAGGCACGTCGACCTTCAGGTCCCAAGGTGAAGGACCCTTACGCCTCTGATGACACGAGCACCATGCTCCTCCCAGTTATCATTGCCCTAGGGGCTTTCATTCCTCTCCTCTTCTGCCTCTGTAAACTCTAGAGATCAGGTCAGGGGTCCAAATGTGTATGGTCAGTGTTTAACATGTGTAAGGTCAGAGGTCATCATGTGATAGGTCAAAAGTGTTTTGATCTATTAAGTGAGAGTGGTGTATGTGTGAGTGACTGCATAAAAAACTTGTAGTTCAAAGGTCAGGGAGAACAAATCTTTGGAGGTAGTGAGCATGAACTTAGACATTTGATGTTGACTTGTCACTGTGATGAAAGGTTTGTTCACAAAAATGTAAAAGGTTAAAGGTCAATTGATGGATGTCTGAGGTAATAAGGTAGTGTGCAGAATTGGGCAGTATTGTTGTTTTGCAAGTCAGAGGTCAAATTATACAAGAAGTGTAAATGATATATGAATGTTTATATATAAAAAGAATAATTATGTAAGTTCACACAACAGTATACCTGTGTTTTCAGTAATGACTGGAATAAAACATAGCAAGTAGAATGTGTAAGTTCCTGCTCTTAACAAAGTGCTTTTTCATGTCCTTCAGTCACTTGGTATTGTCTTAACAACATCAAACTCTGTTTTTACTAAATATAACGTCCGTAAAGTTGGTTCAAAATGTATTTGAGTGTATATTGACCTGAAATGTGGGTTTTTTAACTGGCATAAAACCCTTTCTGTTTATTGGAACAATCTAGGAATCCAGTGGTTGGGCATAACAACTTTAATGTATTTGGTACAATGTAGAAATCTAGATATCTTTTTGACATGTAAACCTTTATATATTGGGTGTTATATAGAAATCTAGAGGTTTTACATAACACTTTCTTTATATTGGGTACAAAGTAGAAATATAGGTTTGTTATCAGTGTTTTCTGATCCTTTTTGTGTCGCCTGCAACGCGAGGCAACATATAGGTATTACTTTGTCGGTGTCGGTTGCCTCGTCCAAAACAAGGTTTCTGTGCGTTAACTTGAGTTCCCTTGGGTTGATTGAACTCAATCTTGGTACACATATTGCATACCAATATAACTCAGACAAGTTCGCATTTCAAAGGTTTACATGCATTTTTGGAGGAGTTATGCCCCTTTTATTGCCAAATAAGGGCATTGTGTAGTAAATGCAAGAACATTTTTATTTTTCAATCAATTCCTTTCAAATTTTGTGCGGTAATGCTAGAAGAAATAATGTTCAACATGTATTACAGGTTTTTATGTTGAGTTTCAACTTTCCACATTTTGGCATATCACTCTTAACATAGAAAGGCTGTTCATCATTTTGCTGTTAATTTTTGCTTGTTTACGCGATAACTCGAGCCGAAACACTTCTCACTAAGCACTGAGCAGGCGACACATCATCCTCGATATCCAGGGGTTACGCTCACTTTCGCTCTCTGCACATCAAAATATTCTCGCGGGGAGTTACGGTAATAATTGACAAAGCTTTGAAGTCGTGCGTCTCTCCTTTGAAATCTTCAAAGGACAAGTATCAGCCTAGCGATTGGTCATTTTTTTTACCTGAGACTAATCAAACAGCTTTCTTTGTGCTTTCAATTTTGCTATGACAAATTCCAGGGGTGTAGAGAGCGAAAGTGAGCGTAACCCCTGGATATCGAGGATGGCAAAACATCCACTCCTGTGGAATTCTTGTTCTGAAGCCAAAAATTTTCCAAACAATCTTCTTACACATTCTAATTACTGGTATGCTTAAACATAAAACATTTGCAAAAATTTGATTGATTACAAAAGAATTTTGCCTCTTTTTCTGATTATTGTTGTTCTTTGCAATAATTTTTCCAAGGTCATGAGTGTTACCCCGTTTCCAAAAACATCAAATATATAAAAAAAAAAATCAATCTCAGTAGGTAGTTTTTTGGGCTACACGAAACACAGGTATTTTGTACAACCATATAAATGAATATGTTTTTATTGGTATATTTTGGACCTGAATAGATATGTACATTTGTTACTGTATATGATATATTTTATCACATAAGGACAACTTTTTAAATCATGTCTGTTTTTTTACGAATCATCTGTTATTTTAATTTAAGAATGTCAGTTTACTTAAGGTGAACAAATTAATGCTTTAAGATGTTCAGTACCATGCATTGAGGTTATGTTTTTAGCTATTTTGTCAGAATGGTATCCTGACCAGTAATTGTGATTTTAATTTTAATTTTTCATAGTTACTGTCCTACAGACAGCCCAACCCTATATTTTTGTCAGTTTTGGTGCAATTTGTCTGTCACTGATACCAGCACTATCAGTTAACTCTTGGCATCACTGATACCAGCACTATCAGTTAACTCTTGGCATCACTGATACCAGCACTATCAGTTAACTCTTGGCATCACTGATACCAGCACTATCAGTTAACTCTTGGCATCACTGATACCAGCACTATCAGTTAACTCTTGGCATCACTGATACCAGCACTATCAGTTAACTCTTGGCATCACTGATACCAGCACTATCAGTTAACTCTTGGCATCACTGATACCAGCACTATCAGTTAACTCTTGGCATCACTGATACCAGCACTATCAGTTAACTCTTGGCATCACTGATACCAGCACTATCAGTTAACTCTTGGCATCACTGATACCAGCACTATCAGTTAACTCTTGGCATCACTGATACCAGCACTATCAGTTAACTCTTGGCATCACTGATACCAGCACTATCAGTTAACTCTTGGCATCACTGATACCAGCACTATCAGTTAACTCTTGGCATCACTGATACCAGCACTATCAGTTAACTCTTGGCATCACTGATACCAGCACTATCAGTTAACTCTTGGCATCACTGATACCAGCACTATCAGTTAACTCTTGGCATTTAACAATTTCATAAGTAACGGGAGTTAAAACACACGTCAAATAGAGATGTCATTTCAAATTGAAGAGTCCAAGGTAAATTTGGGGAGATAAAAAGTGTCTTATCATGTGGGGAGATAAAAATTGTCTATCAGGTGGGGAGATAAAAAATGTCTCATGTGGGGAGATAAAAAGTGTCTATCATGTGGGGAGATAAAAAGTGTCTCATGTGGGGAGATAAAAAGTGTCTATCATGTGGGGAGATAAAAAGTGTCTATCATGAATGGGTGTTCTGAAAACTCTTGATACACATCACTGACCATTCACATAAACTCATCCATCCTGATCACAGAATGACAAAATACTTTCTAAAACCCTAGTTGTAGTCTTTTATGTTAGTATACATGTTTTATGATCTCTGTCTAAAGTTCGAGTATTTAGAAGATACCTGCTTCAGAGTGACATTTGTTTACATTGATTGTGTTTTCATTAATTCTAAAGAGCATATGTATATATAATCAGTTGTTTTGTTTATAAATGTTGTATCAATAATATCTCTGTTCACAATAATTACAATATACTGTTATATGTATCAAAAATTTAATACATTAGATCCATAATCAATAATATCTCTGCTCACAATAATTACAGTATCCTGTTATATGTATCAAAGATTTAATGCATTAGATCCAAAATCAATAATATCTCTGCTCACAATAATTACAGTATGCTGTTATATGTATCAAAGATTTAATACATTAGATCCATAATCAGACGGGAAGTGTCTGCTCATATTTTATTTTCTAACTTTTCAGAAAATTTGAAAAGTTGCAAGTGATTTTGAAAAGAAGAATCATGATATTCTTCTATATAAGCCTTTTTTAAGATAAATACAGGACTGCAATATAAGTTGGGGCCATTACAATACAATCAATGTCATTTGTAATATCAGTCAAGTTGACATATCATTGGGTTTGCCTTATTGAGCTTGAAAGCTCATTTATGTGGAACAACTTTACCAAATGTGCTGTTCATACAATGCATTTGATTAACTAAATGTTATTATGTAAATGTTTTGCGCTTTGTAGCTACACACTGATGTACAGGTAAAACCTGTTAATTACCTAAACGCTGTATTGGACTCTGTGTCTGACACTTACAGCCCCATATATAGCCCATCATGAGATTTTTATGTATGTCATTATAAATTGTGATTGCCTTTTATGCATGTTGTACTCTCTCTGATCTTCAGCAAGTCTAAATTTACAACAACAAAAAAACCTGCTTAAACTTTTTCAAATCAGAAGGAACACATGTTTGCTGAAAAGATAGGGGTAGATATATATAACAGCAAATGCATTTTTATTTTCTAATGTAAGTTTAGTATATTCACATATTATACCTCATACATATTTTTTTCCATTTTATTTTTTGTAAACCTACCAAGTCATAATTTCCCGTTCACCAAGACTGGGGTTAAGGGCCATAAACTGTAAGTGAATTGGTAATGTACTGTTAACTGTCAGTAACCGGGTCATGTATTGGTAACTGG